TGAACGTTTGAGCGCAAGCCTTTGTGTGCACATGCGTGTAGAAACCTAGCGGTCGGGGCTTCGCTCAGATGTCGGCCTCCGTCTCATAGTTTTGGGAGGGAAGACAGAAAACCTTATACAGACCAGAAGATAAAATTTGTCCTAGAGAAAGAGCTGAATTGTCCGCTGTTACTCTCTTATTCTTTATGCCTTTGTTATAGTCCTTATCTTCTCCCTTTCCCCGAAAAAAGCTACTACCTTTGATCTTCTCTATAAAACCTCTTCTTAAACGGTATTCCTGATTTAAAACTCGCTTGGAAGAATGAGCTGAATTTTAGATGGGCTTGTTGAACCGTGGCTATTTTACAGTACTTCTGTCCCCTACCCCTTTGTAGTTCTACCTCATACTAAGTTTTATTTTTTGGAGCCTTTTTTATTTCTTTCTACAGCACCTCCTCTCTGAGAGTTGGGAGCTACGTAGTATGGTCCCAGAAGGGTCTACATAAGAAGCTACAGGTAAAGGCTTATGACATTTTATGTATATATGCATATATATATATATGATAGGGGTTTGCTAGAAATTCAGCTGCAGGCTCTGTTGGTCTGACTTAATGACTAATGAAGCGTAATATTTGCTAACAAATGTATGTTGTAATCTCCTCGGTGCTGTGGCTCAGAGTCAGTTTAGAATCAAGGGATGCCTGAAAACTCGCTTCGTGCCCTCCCAGATGCATATGTATATATACAAATGTCCACAGACACATTCCATACTGCTTTTTTTTTTTTTTTTTTTTTAGATTTATTTATTTGGGAGTGAGCAGAGAAGGAGAATCTCAAGCAGACTTTACACTGAGCACTCGTGACCCCAAGATCATGACCCAGGCCCAAACCAGGAGTCAGATGCTCAATGGACTGAGCCACCCACGTTCCCCTCACATCCTATATTTCTTAAATTAGGAATTTGGGCTTCAAAATTGATTTAAATTTTAGGTTTGAGTTATCATCTTTCACAAGGTGGATTATTCTGAATCTTTTATTAAAAGGGCATCAACCTGCAGCATTCAGAGGCTAGAGTTTGAATTGAGATCAGAGGAAGGTTTAGAAAGCTAGTGCAGACATCGGTGGACAGAGGATTTCCAAACGTGCTGCATGAGAAAATGGTGTCAGACACAGGGATGGGGTTGGGATAAAGTACTTTTGCCTGTTTTGCCATTAGGCATCTGTAAGGGCCTGTTAAGTGCCTTCTTTAAACAAGGTGGTGTTTGCTGTTGGGTTACAGAGATTAATCTGTTAGGGAGCCTGCCCCAGAGGAGGCCAAGCTCTGTAACAGAGCTGATCTGGAATTAGCTAAAGAACAGTAAATACTGTGCATGGGGCGCTTCGGCCTGATGAGAAGTATACTGACTGTGAGAGACTAAAATTCATCCCTTCTTCCCAGGTCATCTTTGCTCCGCCTTGACTTTCTAAATTTGCAGGTTCTCTACTCCTCCAATTCCTGCCTTCTTTGTTAGACTGTGAGCTAGTGATGCCTGCTATCATTCCACTCTTTACCCAAGCAAACTGTTGTACGATCTCTCCCAACAGAGAGACTGCCGTTCTGTGCCTCTTGACAAGCAGGACGGGGAGGGAGTATGGGTACAAGATGCAGACTGTCCTACTGTAGTCAGCCGTGCTCCCATAGCTGTGAGTCTCACGAAGCCTGCGGTAGGCGAGCTAGAGGACAGAGGAGGACCAACCCGAAGTGGAACGTTGAGGGAGAAATAGGCCAGGACACTGGGGAGGAAGGCGAGCGGGGTGTTAGCAGTGTGCTCGCATGGGGCCGTTCTCACTTCTCATGTTCCCTCTCACTGTTTTCTTTTCTCCTTCCTCTTTATTTTATGGCTTCATGCCACTACAGTGTTTGCGTGTTACCCATTTGGGGGCTGGCTAGCTTCTCCATGATGAACGTCTGTTAGCTTGTCTTTCCAGGTGCTCTGTAGTCAATGTGTGCTTTGTCAGCGTTTTATTGGCATTACCGAGTTTTGTTTGTTTGGGGAGGGACATTTATTCTACTGTTTTCTTGCACATTGTTGGTCGCTCATCTCCTCCATTGGTTCTGCTTTGTAAGCAGAAGTTAACTGATCGTGCAGTGTTCAGCGAGGAGGCATCCCTTCTGCTGTGTTCCCCGTTGAAGAGCAGTCGCTCGGTGGGAGAGGTCTGTTTCCCTCACCGTGCTGTGGTCTGGGGAAGGCCGCGGCAGTTTGGCGGGGTTGGGAGGAGGCGGACATGCACAGGGCTCAGATCCATGGAGTCAAACCTGTCATCAGTGTGGAACGGCACGTGTCATGCAGCACTCAGCATTGGATGTTTTAAACCCGAGCACTATGACAAGTCACCACCTAGGTCATCAGATGACTTTGGATTGCTGTCGGATTGGACTTCGAGTATATGGAGATCAGATTGGGACAATGACCCACTTGATAGGTATTCAGAATCTTTAGAACATCAGCTTCAAATATTTATTTTTCTCAGGTTTTATTTTCACATTTATAGAAAGTTACATTGATAATACAGATAATTCCCATATACCCCTTGGCAAGATTTGACCACTGTTAACCCTTTGCCACATTCACTCTTACTCTTTATCATATTATTTTTTTCCAAACTGTGTGACCATAGGTAGTGTGCATCCTGTCCCTTTACCACGTCACATTTATGTATTCTGACAAGGCCAGTCTTGGATTTTCAACGGTAGTTCAGTTACCGAGTAAAGGAAATTCAATGCTGATCTGATAGAATTCTCTACTCCAGTCCACTTTTGGATTTCTCTCTTTTTCCCGATATGTCCTTCCTTCATTGATTTTTCTCCAGTCCAGGAGCCAGCCCAGAATCCCTTACTGGGTTTAGTTATCATGCTTCTCTGTTCTCCCTGAGTCAGGAGCGTTTGGCATTGTTTGAAGAGGGACCATTTCCTGACAGAGTCCCCTCAAGCTGGGCGTGTCCGGCGTATCCTTGTGACGCGGTTTAGGGGCCGTGGTGTTGGCAGGGTTGTGTCACTGGCGACGTGTGCTCCTCCGTGCGTCGGGCGGCGGCAGCACGTCCACCTGTCCCGTTAGCGGTGATGCTGGCTTTTGATCTTTCGGCTGAGGTGGTAACCGCCAGGTTCTTCCACTTAAAGCATAATTATTTTTCCTTTCATAACAAGCAGCGTGTGGGGAAGTAACTTGGAGACTCGGTGCACACGACTGCCTGTCAAGCCTGCGCCCGCAGCGGGTTTGACCCGGCCGCGGCCGCCGGTTTGAGCTGGTCATTGCAGCGGCGCTTGGGGCTCAAGCACGGAGCGGCGCAGGCTCCGTGCTCGGGAGGGCGTCTGCTCCGGCCGTTGGGTTCCTTCGCGTCCGAGAGGGGCTCGTGGTGAGCTGGAACCCGTCTTCCGAGACTTGCACGCACGGCTGCACATTCTCTGCTTTGTGCCACGTGAGATAAGCCCGCTCCGTTTCCCTCTTGAGCGGTCCTTCAGAACGCGTTCCTCTGTGGCTTTTCTCCAGGTTTCTCACAGTCCCGTCTTGTGACAGAAGATCTTCCTGAACTTGTAGCCAGCCCGTAGGTCGCACGTGGCCTTCATTCATTAGCGCCACCCTTCCCGTGGGGGCCACGTCCGGTTCCCGTTCTCGGTGTGGCTCATCAGGACGCGGGACGCTGTTGCTGTTGCTGTGATCTTAGCTGATACCTGAAGCCGCAGGCTTCGGAGACCAGTATGTCTGCATGCACGGCCCGTCTCTGCCTCTTAGCTCTGTGATCTTCACCAAGTTCCTGGCGTCGCGAGACTCCTCATGTTGCATGATCTGTACCGAGTTGGTAATCGCTGCGCCCACCTCTTCAGGGGGAGTGAGGAGTAAGCGTGCGTGTAAACCGTCACGACGGGGCCTCCTGCACCGTGCTCAGCCATCAGACGTTTCTCGCTGTCCCCGTGCAGAGAGCAGACTCCGGTGGTACAGCCTGAGATTTGTTCCGTCCTTGTTAGCGGTTGTTAGCGGCTGTCTGACGGTGGGCTCCCTCAGGAAGCTTAAGCTCTGCCGCAGCAGGGGGACACTCTGGAACACAGGCTTCAGCTCGCGTGAGAGGTGCTCTGTCAAGTTACAGCTCTCATGAGGCGTGAGTTACTTCCTAAGTCATTTCTTTGCACAGTATAAGGACAAGACAAACATGCCTCTTTTAGAGCAAAACAAATAAATGCACAGTAGCTCATTTCAGTGTTAACTAATACTTTAAAAATGTAGTGAAATTTAAGAATTGGGATGTACTTCTCATGGTATTTCTAAATCATGTTGCTATTATAAATAGTAAGTTTACTCTGTAAAGTGCTAAAGCATTTCCTAAAACTTTCTGTAGAAATTTGAGGCCCATGTGACACATGTAGGGGAAGTAGTTACCTGTGTATCCAGGACATTCTGATTGGATGCAGTTCTGTTTTCCAGACAAGCCTTCTGACACTTGACCAATCTGTAGCACTAATGGTACTATAGAAATGTGAATCTGTGCGTAAATGTGCTGTAGACGTTCATAGTAAATGTCGGAAAACCTGGCTCTTGCTTCTGTCGGAACAGGACCAAGGATCTCATTCTCCCTACCCAGGAGGGTCCCAAGGGATATTGTTGGGGCCATTGAAGTCATTCCCATTGACTGTCTGGTTGTAACAGTCGCTCTTTAGTTCTGGCTGTTCATGCTAAATAAATTAAACTTTAGAGAAGCGGAAAAAGACCTAGTTTTGCGTATTTGGGGTATGAATGGCTATATAAAAAATAATTCTTGCTCACCTCGCCTGGGGCCAGGTGAAGAAGAATCTCTGGTAAAGTTACATATTGCTGTATTTTACATTGGTGTCAAATAGCAAGTGAAATGTTTTTATTTCTTAATTTTATCTCAACAGCCCTCTTTATGTAGCTATAATAGTGAAAGCACTCCTTAAAATTTTAGACAATTAAAATGTACACAGTCAATTTTAACTGTCTCAACTCTGTTTCATGTTAAATGTGTTACAGGAATGAATCTGAAGTCTGCTGCGGTAAAACACTGAAGGCTTTACAATGTTTTCTTGCATAAAACTCAGACTTTAAGTATCTGCTTATGAGGCTAGGGAAGGCAGGAGGCTAATGTGTGTCTCGAGATACAGGACAGCTGTTTGCCCATCGACCTCAACTGTGTGAGTAGACTTAACGCGCAGCCCCAGGTCGCTGCGGGTAGTTAAATCTAAGTGAAGAAACACTTAAGTCAGCATGATGACACGTTTCATAGGGTCTGTTTCTTTCTGGTGGGTAGGATACGGAGGGTGGAGTGGGTGGTAGATTTTTATAAAATATTTTTGAGAAAAACCATAGCTAAGTATCATTAGTGACCATGCATCTTTTTTTTTTTTTTCAGAATTATTTTAAGCATTGGAATTTGCATTACTAATCTTACAGTGAAGCAAAAAGTTTTAATTCTTAAGATTGCAGTTTGTTTTGTAGTTGGTTTCAGCCATTTTATATTACTATGTTTACCAGATAACCATAAAAATGTATTTTGGGAATATGATGTTACATAATAATGTAGGAAATTGCTCTTGGAAATAATTTCATAATTTAAATTACAATTAAATTTCATAGTTTTTAAATAGTTCTTTTGAACCAGAGAGAGCATATACTTCCAAATAAATAAACTCCTGTTCCCTAGATGCAGTTAGGACGTCTTTGAAACTTCCCAGCTTTTTGTGTTTTAAAACTGCTTTGATAATCTTAAGTACCTGTTGAAGAAAAAAATTCTTTTCTTTTTCTTTTAGTAAAAGTTACTGCTTTAGTAATCAACTTGAGGCCAGCAAGGGTGGGAGCTGATTTTTTTCCCTCCTCATCTCCCCTGCTTGTGTTTTTATTTTTGTTTTGTTTATTTTTTTGTTTGTTTTTGTTTTGTATTGGGGTGTATTTTCCTAGATGGATTTAGGAATAAGACTCTTGAATGGCTTCTCCCCTTAGAAGAACACATGGTACATATAGATGAGGTGATTAAAATACAAGACATTGATGTGAGCAAAGTGATGGGCATATAGAAAGAACTTGACAAAATCTTCCTAACTGTTCAGGGACACATGGAATGGAATGAGTGGCATTTTCATGAAGATGAATTTACTTTCTCTTTCACATCGCAGATGTCTTTCTCAGTGGAAGGAAAGTCACGGTTGACCGTCTTTAGGATCGGTGAATGAGAAGGCATTCAGGAAGCCCGTGGGGAGTGCGCCCCGAGCGCGGCTGTTCTCGTGAAAGGGCTCAGGGGGCACAGGGCCGAGATAAGGGCTATGTGGCCGCCTCTCAACGCATCGGAAAAGTCAGGGTTCCAGTGTGCGACTAGCCAGGGGTTGTCTCTTTCCTGAGCATTCAGTAGCTCTAAAGAAAAGCTCTTAGAATCTACTCGTGTCGTGGTGCCTAAGGCCTGCAGCGTGAGCGTGAACCCTCCAGCCGGAGCCGCGTGGCGCCTCACGGGCAGAGCCAGGTGCCGTTGTTCCGTTCACGGCACCCCGGCACGCTTCCCCCCCTCGCTCCGGATAGTGCCAAAAGTGAAACTCGAGGTGCAGGGGGCCTGCAGAACCTATTAATGAAGCGTTGATTTTTAAGATGAGATCGGGCAGAAAGGACACTCAGCAGGGAAGAGAAGCTTCTGCAGCCATGGAGGGTTGAGAAGGGAAGTTGTGCGGTGGTCGATTGGTCCCAGGCTCCGCTGCTCCCTGCACGTCTCTGAGCCCCGCCGTCCGCGTGCTGTGTTCGTCTGGTGCCGCGCAGGTAGAGGACGGTGCTAAGAAATGAGTGAACCCGCTGGCCAGGACGTGCCTGCTGGTGGCACCCGCTGGCCAGGACGTGCCTGCTGGTGGCACATGCACGCGGCCCCCGAGAGCCTCGCATCTGCCCTGCTCACCCTACCCCCTCCCTGTCACCCTGTCACTGGTCTGCTTGCACGTCTGTGACTGAGTGTCGTCCAGGGTCACTGCGTCCTGACTTGTGCTCCTGTCCTTTGCAGTGCACCTTAACCTTGAGCTGCTGGGCTGTGGAAGGCCATGTGACGCGGCGAGGACTCAGGCCTTGTGGGGTCGGGTCCCAACTCTGTCCCTTGTCACGGCGTGTTTTTTTGGGCAAGTAATTTAAAGCCTATCTGTGCCTTAGTGCCTGTAATCTGGAAGGCAGACATTCTCATTTGGTGTGGGATCTTGAGTGCGCGAGTCATTAATACTAGGAAAATACTCTTACTACTGAACTTTTGTTTCTTCTTCAAGAAGAGGAACACCAAGTAGTATATTCATCCTCAGAGGAGTACATTTTAAAGGCTTCAGGACTGTTTGGAGACCATGAAGTAAGGTATCTCCAGGCTGGTCTGGCAGGAGCTGTTTCCCTGGTGGCAGGATAGGAATCCTCTGGCCTGCGTTCTCGTCCCGGGCCGGCTGTGAGCGCCAGCCCCGCTTCCGAGTCTCAGCAGCCGCAGGTGCTAGTGTTTTCTGGGGCATGGATTTGAATGTATGTAGTGAAGTTACATTAAACGTGACATTTCTCGATGACACAAAACTCTTACTTGTCTGGAGCACAAAAATGGGCTCTTGCATCAGACTTTAGTCCACAAAGGAAGAGGGAAGGAAGCGAAAATGTTTCTTGAAAAATCGTGGTGAAGTCAGGTATATTTCCTCCGGTTTTAGGTAAAGTGGTTTTTTAGGCAATTTATAAAAGTCCTTACAACATTTTAGGCAATTTATAAAAGTCCTTACAGAGGAGCAATGAGGGGGCCAAGCAGCGTTCGGAGCGCTGAGTTCTGTCCGTAGTGCCCGCAGCATGGTGGAGCGAGCCGTCTGTGACGTGTAGGGGCCGTGCGGTGCTTTGTGATCTCGGAGCACCTTGAAGGGCGGTGGCGTGGTGGCACGTGAGTCTCAAGTGTCTCGGGAAGGACTGGCTGGCAGTTTTGTCGGGGACTTTTCTCTCTGTGGGACGATCGTCCCGGCGGCTCAGCGTAGTCTGGATTTCAGCCTGATGATCGCTCTTTATGTTTAGAAATAGTGCAGGAGCTCGGGGTGTTCCAGGAAGTAGAAACCCGGTGCTGGGTGGTACAGACACACACTGTTCACTAGCTTATCCTCAGGGAGCAGAACGCAGTTGGACAGATACCTGTTCTAACTAAAGACAGTCTAAAAGAATGAAAAACCCTATGGCATTGCAAGAAGTTTATGGCCTTGGTGTCTTTTTTATGCTGCGGTGTTGTGCCTCTTCCCCATCCCCACAGCTGACCTACGGCTGGTTCATGGAGTCGGGGGATCAGCCAGGTCCAGTTGGCCCGTCCGGAGGTGTTTCCCGTCGCACGAGCAGGACAGCAGGAGCTCGGAGCTGTGCGCAGTGCAGAGTGTATGAAAGGGGGGCGTCCACAGGGAGGCAGTGACTGGCCTGTCCAACTTCAGTTTCCTTAACTGATTGAAAAGCAGGGCTTGCGGGTATGATCCCGTAACCTCCCTCGTATGGATACGGAGGGAACTGAAGGAGATACTTCCCGTGAGGCCATAGCACAGGGCCTCGCATGTGGCGACAAGAGCCGGCATCTTCAGTGAGGGCTTACGAGTACACATCTGAAGTGAGTAGCCTTCTCATCTGATTTTTTAATTTAGGGAACAACTTTGGAGAATTTAAGTTGGAGTGACCACCTCTGGAAACTAGGCCGCATATCTTAAGCCAGAGGGGGAGTGGCCTCCGAGCTGGGCCGGTGGCCTGGTGGTCTGGTGGCCCCTAGAGTGTGGGTGACAGCCCCTCAACCCCGCGCCCCACTGGCTTGCCGTCTGGCATTGCGTGCTCAACCTGGGGACTTGGAGCGGATCGCCCGGATTTGTTCCTTTCAGGTATCTTACCTGTTTGCGGGCCGCTGCCTTCTCTGTACTAGCTGCGCGGCAGAGGGGTCCGGCGGACGGCTTCTCATTCACACGTGTGCTCTGACAGGCATGGGTTTTGCTTCTTGACAACATACCTGACTGCTCCTTGTTTCTCCTGCCATTTTTCCCCGAACGGACCATTTTGCTTCCCATGTCCTACAGCACGCACGTTTAAAGTCTCCCGAAATCCTTTTCAGAGCAACGGGAGGTCCACAAGCCATGGCGGTGACATCCATGACCTGCAGGTGGTGCCTTCCTTCCCATCCCAGGGGACGGGATTCCCTGTGGCCTGCAAGTCCTCACGCAGAGCCGCTCTCACCTCCCTCTGTCCTGGGCCCCGGGGAGTTGCCACCCTGGTGAGACCGCGGCCTGCATTACCCTTCCCACACACTCGGGACACTAAGGATGAGCCCTCGGTGACTTCTTTGCTGGCATTTGTCCGGAATAGCGTGTGTCCTTTCAGGAGCCTCTGAGAGGAGTCTCCGAAACCGCGCGCTCTCCCTTGTGGTCCGGAAGTCGGGTGGCCCCCCAGGCTCAGATCGGGCAGCGGTGAGGGGTGTTCGGGGCTCTGCTGGTGGGTGGTGGCGGTGTGTGGGGAGGGCGCCCCTCGTGCACCGGCCCGCCGCTACCTGCGGCCAGTGTGGGGTCTCAGCGTGATGACGGCCGCTGCCCCCAGCACGCGGCACCGCGCAGGGGCCTCGCCAGAGCTGCTGAGTCGGTGGTGTGTGTCACACTTCACGGGGCACGAGGTGTTCTGCAGTCATGGTCTCTCGTGCTGTCCCCAAGTCCTGCAAGTTAAAAACGACGGGTCATCACCAAACGTTAACACGAGGAACCAGACCCCTGATGTGAACTGAAGGCGGCAGAGTCAGAGCCCGCTCCAAGATCGTCCGTTCCGTCGCGTCCACTGTGCCACGGTCCACGGCGGGCGCCTTGTGCAGGTGCTGCTGTCTGGCGATGACTTGTCGTTAGGCCTGTCTCCCCGTGTTTGTTATCCCCCCCGCCCCCCGACCCCACGTAGTGCGTTCTAGCGGGAGACGGAGAATCCACGTGGGGGATGGCTTGCAGTAATTTCGAGCATCTGTGTGTTGTCCAAGCCCCCGTGAGAGGAGAGCACCAAACGTGTTTTTGATCTGCTGCTTAGCGTTGTGTTTTTGCAGCTGATGGGGCTCATTGTCATTGTCCTGTTGCATGTCGTTGTGACATCCGTGCAGGTGCCACACAGGAGTATTCCTGTCCTTACGCATCTGTTGATCCCTGAGAGCAGAGCTGGCTCCTAA